TTTACATGTTCCAAAACTTGAGGGCAAGTTTTGTAAACTTTCAAAACTTTTCATTTCTCATAACTTATGATTTAATGGTTATTAAAAATGAAGACTCTTCATTTTTTGTAACCTATGTGTTCTTTTAATGGTTATTTATAAATGTGACTTTTGGTTATCCATAACTTAAGAACTAGTTATGGACTCCATTAAAACACATAAAGATCAAGAATTAATCTAATCAATTATTAGCACATAATTTCTATGATCTTCTAAACTCATATGTTTATGAATGTTCATATCAAAAATTTCAAGAATCGTAAGTACATATACAAAACTTGAAATTTTGATACGAGCTTTTGAACAAAACTTCGATTTTCAATTTTTTTTTTTTTTTTTTTTTTTTTGCATCAAGTATCAAATAAACAAACCAGTCTCTGATACCACTGATGGGCTTTGAGCATTCTAACACTCCTATGGTGTACATGCAACCCTAGAAACCTTGGATCTATGTTTGACTAAGATACATGCAAATAATTATTTTTTCCAAGGTTCTTATCCTAACTAGCATGGCATGGGATACTTGAATCAAATAAAACTAGTAGAATTACTTACCTTGTAGTAGTAGTTGATTGCTTGGAGTTTGAGAGCCTAGCACTAATAATGTGGATGCCTCAAATGGAAGTCACAAATCACCACAAACTTGGAAACTTGAGAGAATAGTCACAAACTTCTTGAAATCGGCCCTCTTGGTTTACACACATCAACTAGTGCAATTTCAAGAACCAAAGCCTCCTTTATATAGTGTGGTGGATTAGGGTTACATCCATGTAAACCCTAATACCCATGTCTTTTCATTTCCATGAGATCCATGGGTTAAAGCTCCATGGAGTATCCATGGACTTTCCATGCAATGAAGAATGAAATAAAAATGAGTACTTGTTCTAATAAGAGAGGATTGTCCATTGATCCTCAACAAAGCGATCTCCATACTCTCTCTGGTGAGAAGTAGCACTGTTTTGAGCATGATGGAAAAACTCACTATCCTGAAATAAAGAAAGCAACATTCTTTAGTCTTAAAGGCTGAAATATATCGAAACCATGCCAAGAAATTGGAACAATAATGGCACTTACAGTAGAGATGCACTAAAGGGTAAAATCGTCAAATTACAAAATAGGCATAATGACACAGCTATGCTTGTCTTAAAGCCTGAAATATATCAGAAAACCATGCCAAGAAACTGAAACAATAATGGCACTTACAGTAGAGATGCACTAAAGGGTAAAATCGTCAAATTACAAAATAGGCATAATGACACAACTATGATTGTTTGTATGAATACGCATAATTTTGTAAATTTCATTCTGAAAATTAGAAAAATGCAAACAGTATACATAAATTGTTTGTTATATGTAGAGATGCACTAAAGGGTAAAATCGTCAAATTTCAAAATTGTTGGAGGTTCTCAGCCATCTCTTCTATTGTTTGAATTTCTCTTTTGTTATGACTAATATCCGCTAATATATAGGTAAGAAAAATTCAATTTTTTGGTGTTTGGGTGTGGTTAAAGACATTCTTGGAATGAAAAAATATTACCCATCCAAACTGTTCCAGCTGAGACAAAAAGCCCTTCTTCCTTAAAAACAGGAAGAGACTCACCAGTAAGCATAGACTCATCCACAACACTTCTTCCAACAATAACTTTCCCCTGAACACAAGAATGTGGCATCCCATCCAAGCTCAGTGTTAAGAAGTGAGATCTAGAAGATGGAGAATGTATTAGTAGTATAAAACAATGTAATGATGTGATGATGAAAAATTGATAAAATAGGATGTCCATGAATGAGAAGCTTACAACACTTATCATAAAAGCAGCAATGGATCCAAATCCAACAAGCGAGTTCATATTTGGAGAGCCCTTAAAGAATGCCTTTAGACCATCATAAAGCAAACCTGAGAAAAGTTTCATTGGATATAAATCATATGATCAGATGGATTATTGACAGAATTTCAAAATTGTTTCTTCAGGTATGAATTAAAATTTAAAACCAACCTCTACTGTATCCCAACAAAGCACCAATAGCTAAACTGCCTTTGAAATAGGAATTGTGAAAGAATATTCTTGGAATGGGATGCCATCTCTTCTATTGTTGTAATTTCTCTTTTGTTATGATTAATTATCCGCTAATATATAGGTAAGAAAAATTCATTTTTTTGGTGTTTGGGTGTGGTTTTAACTTTAATATTGGACTTATTTCTTAGATGTAACTGATCACATAGAGATCATATGTATTATACTTAAAATTGAAATCCTAAATATACAATTATACAAATGTCATATAATTTGGAAGGTATATCAACTACAGTAACTGTTTTATTTACTTACTATATATTATCCCGTGATTTATTTTGCATCAATTATGTATAAATTTTCGCAAATTCAAAAATTCAAATATTTAAAACAAATACTCAAATTTCAAAATTCGAACCAAAAACATATACTACCCTGATTGTGTTTCCGCTCTAAAGAATGTCAAGGCATTCCTTGAACACTTCAGTCAGTTTTCGCTAATATCTCAAATACAACATTTCTGGAGAAATAAAATCAGGTAAGATTGTCTTTGACAAAATGTATTTTCTCTTAAAAAAATAAGATTAACAATCAATTGAGCTTCTCTCATCTCTCACCTCCGATCGTGATTTCTTCAACCGCCAAAGCTGCGTTTTTTTTCAGTCTCTGAGTTCGACATCGGCTATTACTGTATGTAAACTTCTCTTCACTTCAAATTTCTAATCGGTTGTGTAGTAGTATATTTCTTCATCGATTTAGATGGAGAAACTTTGACACCGTTTCATATTTTCATCGGTGGTTCTGGAGATATGTATGTAATCGATTCTAGGTCTGGTTTGTTTTACATCGTTTCTTTTACAGACAAAGGGGAAAGGGGGAAATATTGGGATGCCGACAAATGTTAAGTGAAAATAATTTTTTTGATAAATAAAAAATGTTGAATATGCTAAAAAATGATTAAAATGTTTTTTTATTTGTTTCTCATTTTCTCAAATTAAATATTTACATAATTTTCATTACTATATTTCCCCGATTAATATAGGCAATGTATGTAAATTAACTAATAACCTATAAAAAAAAAATTTATACGTCGTATCTATTAATTTGCTTATATTTATATATATCATTATACAATATTAACTATTATTATTAATTTATACATAAAAAAATGTCTTCATTTATAAATAAAACATCTTTTATATATATATATATATATATATATATATATATATATATATATAACTAACTCATTACCCATTATGATTTAGAACTACCATTTGTTTTCTATTTTATTATTAATCAATTTTTTAATTGAAGTTTATACGTATTACATAAGTTACTAATCATCTGTAATGGGTATTTTCAAATTATTAATTTTTTTAACGTTATTTTTTTATTATATATCAAACAAGAACATGGATGCCACATACGCTAGAGAAAGAAGAAAAAAAAGAAAGTTATACTTGGATAATAAGAAATCCAAGAAAAACTATACCGCGTAATCGTCTCAACATATACCTATTGCACATGTTATTCCTTTTAGCGAATATGGTAATTTCTTACTTTGTTTTACATATGTAAATATGTTTTATTTATTTATTTTTAATGTGTTCTTCATAATTATTTTAAAAATAAATAAACGTTTATAAAATATAATATATTGAACTTTATATAACTAAACGTCGTTAAATTATTTACTATTATTTTACAGGTTCAATTAACACTACATACTCTACTAACGCTAAAAAGAGGAGAAAAATTAGAAAGTTATATTTGGATAATAAAAAATCCAAAATAACTTCTAATACATCTACGCATCAAAAATATTCTATTACACGTGTTTCTAACATGTCAAATAACGGTATTCTTATTCATTCTTTTTACAATTATTTTTTAACTATATAAAATATATCAAAATTTTGTATTATTAAATTTATTCTCTTTTTAAAAATTAATATTATTTGTTTTATTACTAACTATTTTTTTCTCATTACATAACAGATGTCTACAATCGTCGTCGTCATTTAGTATCTATAGATAACTACAGAAACGTTACATCAGATAAGGAAAACGAAAAGTCAGTCAAATCATTTGTATATATCAACATACAACTATTCATTCTCCTTCTACAAATATAAATGTTAGAACTCCCTTATCTAACATTTCAAATGGTATGCATTTGTTTATAGACAAATTCTAAAACATATGTTTCGTATTTATATAATTTATAAAAATTCCTAACGTTATAATTAATATTTTTATTTTCTCAGGAAATTATATTTTCAATAATAACATTCAAACACCGTTATCTATTAACAATGATAATTCGGTGTTTGATATTGGCATGACATCCACCGGTCGTTCAACCATCATTCAAAAATCTTCATCAATCAAGTTACCAAGATGAAAGCATCAATTAAAAAGGAAGGCTACACATATATGTGCTATACCTATGTTTGACTTGACATTAGATGAAGATATTAATGATGCCCATATTATTGAAGATGTTTTCCGCGGTACTTCGATAGGTGATCATAATTATATAAAATTTAATATTATTTATTTTTTATTCTTTATTTATATTCATGAATTTTTATTATTTATGGAATTCAACAGATTACTTGGATCATGGAGACCAGATTGTTATATGCCAGATGTGTCATGCAAAACTATGGACAGATGAATCGGTTAGAGGGAAACAAAAAAGGAATACATCTTATTCCTTATGTTGTGGTTACGGCAAAGTTGAGCTACCACCTTTAAAAGAAGCACCGTCATTACAAAAATCTTTACCGTTCCGTAGATTCTAAAAGCAAATACTTCATGAAGAACATTCGACGTTACAATTCAATGTTTTCATTTACATCAATGGGAGGCAAAGTTGATTCATCTATCAACACAGGCAACGCACCATAAATATTCAGACTTAGCGGTCAAAATTATCATAGTATGGGAAGTCTTCTACCTACAGGTGGATCAAGCCCAAAATTCTGTCAGTTATACATATATGATACGGAGAACGAGATTTCAAATAGATCGACAAGTATTGGGTATATTTTTACAATCAACTTCAATAAATATTTTCACTTCATTTAATTTTATTTACTAACAATAATTATTTTTTTATAATATTTTCAGTGGATCAACAAACGCTTCTACATCAAGTTCAAGACCATATGATCTCCCGATTATAGAATTTTTGAAGGTTATGTTAGATTCAAACAATGCGTTGGTGAAGTCTTATCGGATGGTAAGAGACAGTCTTCATGAAAATCGTGGCTCTAATTTGAAGTTAAGACTAATCGGAAAAAGAGAACAAGATGGAAGGACGTATAACTTACCAACTTCTTCTGAGGTAGCCGCTTTAATTGTTGGTGATATTCATAATTCAATTGAAAAAAGAGACATCATTGTTGAAACCTCATCGGGATTACTAAAGTGTATCAGTGAATTACATCCTTCTTACCTTGCTCTACAGTATCCATTACTATTTCCATATGGCGATGATGGTTACAGAGTTGACATCCTTCATAGAGGTATTACATCTTCAAGTAACAGCAAGCGCCCGACATGTACGATGAGAGAATTTTTCGCTTATAGAATTCAAGATAGAGATCAATCATTCTCACTAATTCTTAATGCAAAAAGGTTGTTCCAACAATTTTTAGTTGATGGTTATACCATGATTGAAAGTGAGCGATTATTTTTCATACGTAAGCAACAAAAAATTCTTAGATGTGAGACTTATGAGAATCTGCGTGATCACCAAGCACATGGGAGTACAAATATTTCGGACGTTGGGCAACGTGTGATCTTACCTTCTTCATTTACCGGTGGTGCACGTTATATGATGCAAAACTATTTGGATGCCATGTCGCTATGTAAATGGTTTGGATATCCAGATTTTTTCATAACCTTTACGTGTAATTCAAAATGGCAAGAAGTTCAAAGGTTTCTTAAAGACACTCCACTTCATCCAGAAGATAGACCGGATATATTATGTAGGTTATTTAAGATTAAGTTGGATGCATTTTTTAAAGATTTAAGGGAAAATGAAGTTTTTGGCAAGGTTCAAGCAGGTATTTACAATTATACTTATATATATATATATATATATATATATATATATATATATATATATATATATATATATGTATATATTCTTTAGTTGCTAACTTGTGTCATAATTTTTGTATTTTTATATGCAGTGGTTTACACAATTGAATTTCAAAAAAGAGGCCTGCTTCATAGTCATATATGTCTGTTTATGCATTCTGACTGCAAGCTTCCTACAGTTGACTATATCGATCCACTTATTTCTGCTGAGATTCCAAATATTGATGAAGATCGAGAATTATATTCACTTGTCAAGGAGTTCATGATTCACGGTCCATGTGGAGCTGAAAATTTCAATTGCCCATGCATGGTAGACGGAAAGTGTTCTAAAAACTTTCCAAAGCAATTCTGTAATCATACTTCAGTTGATCCAGATGGGTTTCCCTTATATAGGAGAAGAAATGATGGAAATTTTGTCGAAAAATCTGGTGTTCAGTTAGATAACAGAAACGTTGTTCCATACAACAAATATCTGTTAAAACGATACCAGGCACACATCAATGTTGAATGGTGTAATCAAGGATCTTCTATAAAATATTTATTTAAATATATAAACAAGGGTCCTGATAGAGCGACTTTTGCTATGGTGCAAAGCAATAATGATTCTGATAAGAACGATGCAGTCGATGAAATCAAAGAATACTATGATTGTAGATATATATCTGCATGTGAAGCATCGTGGCGGATTTTTAAATATGATGTTCATTATAGGCATCTTGCTGTGATTAGACTACCTTTTCATTTGCCTGGTCAACAACAAGTTGTATATGAGGCAGACGATGATATTGAAGATGTTCTTGACCGGCCTTTAGTTGCTTCTTCAATGTTCATATCTTGGATGAAGTGTAATGAGATCAATAAAGAAGCACGAAAGCTTACATATGTTGAATTTCCTACCAAGTTTGTTTGGAAACCTAAACTTCAAAGTTGGCAGCCAAGGATAGTTGGATATTCTATTGGTACAATTCACTCCATTTCACCTAAGCTTGGCGAAGCATATTTTTTAAGAATTCTTTTAAATAAAGTGAAAGGTCCAAAATCCTTCGAAGAAATTCGCACAGTCAATGGTGAAATATGTTCTTCTTTTAAAGATGCATGCTATAATCTGGGTCTTTTGGATGATGACAAAGAATACATCGAAGCAATTAAGGAAGCAAGTCTTTCTGGATCTAGTTTTTATCTACGTTTCTTATTTGCTACGATGTTATTGTCCAACAGTTTGTCTAAACCAGAGATTGTATGGGAAAACACATGTGAATACTTGTCAGATGGAATTCTTTATACTCAACAAAAGAGATTAAAGTCTCCAGGTATTGTATGTTTATTACATTATTATTAAAACTGTATCATATAAATTTCCAATATGCACTCAATTACATTTTATGTCCCACTTAATCTCTTTTTTAGTATGTTGTAAGTAATATAGTATTGTTCGTACAAGTTTATCACTAAACGAAGATCAAATTAAAAACTTGACTTTGTTTGAGATAGAACAAATTTTACTCCGAAACAATTCCAGTCTCAAGGACTATAGAAGGATGCCTTACCCAAATGCTGATTTGGTTTCATCTTCAAACAATCGTTTGATAGCCGAGGAGCTAGATTATGACATACCAAATTTGAAGAATGAGTTTGATCGCCTCTTTGTTTCATTAACCGACGAGCAACGCAACTTTTTCTTGATATAATGGCTAAGGTTAAAAATAATAAGGGAGGTGTATTCTTTATTTATGGTTATGGTGGAATGGGTAAGACATTTCTATGGAAGACAATTTCTGCAGCAATTAGATCCCAAGGAGAGATTGTTTTAAACATTGCTTCAAGTGGGATTGCTTCATTATTATTGATTGGAGGCAGGACAACACACTCTCGGTTTATAATTCCCATAAATCTTACCGAGGATTCTTTTTGTAGAATAAATCCAAAGAGTGACCTTGCGAGTTTAGTAAGAAAAGCCTCATTGATCATTTGGGATGAAGCACCTATGGTACACAAGCATGCATTTGAAGCTTTAGATCGAACTTTGAAGGATATATTAAGATTTGTTGATCATACAAACTCAAATATTCCATTTGGAGGGAAAGTGGTTGTTTTTGGAGGTGATTTCAGACAAATTCTACCTGTTGTTCCGGGTGGCAGTAGACAAAACATTGTTAATGCTTCTTTAAGTTCTTCGTATTTATGGCAACAATGCAAAGTCCATAAATTAACAAAAAACATGAGGTTAACTGTTGGAAGCGATTTATCTGCTGTTCATCGAATAACGGGTTTTTCAAACTGGCTTTTGGACATAGGAGAAGGTAATTTTGGTGGTCCGAATGATGGTGAAACAACTGTTGATATTCCAGAAGACATTCTCATTAATGATCTATGTGATCCTATTGGTTCATTAATCAATTTTGTATATCCTTCCATTCTTGAAAACTTCAACATTGCAGGTTATTTTCAAGAAAGAGCAATACTTGCTCCCAAGAATGAAGTTGTCCAAGAAATAAATGATCGGTTGCTAAAATTGATTCCAGGAGAGCAAAAAGAATATTTAAGTTCAGATAGCCTTTGCCAATCTGAGTTTGTCCATGATCAGTTTGATGCAAATTTATACTCACTTGATGTTTTAAATGGTCTTAAAATCTCAGGTATGCCAAACCATAATCTCATTTTAAAAGTCGGTGTTCCAGTTATGTTATTGAGAAACATTGATCAGAAAAATGGCTTATGCAATGGCACTAGACTACATGTCATATCTTTGGGCAAACGAGTTATCGAGGCAGTTATCATATCTGGAAGTAATATTGGAAACCGGACTTTCATTCCAAGAATGTCTTTTACTCCTACTGAAAACAAGATCCCGTTCAAATTCCAAAGAAGACAATTTCCATTGGCTGTATGTTTTGTAATGACAATTAACAAGAGCCAAGGACAGTCTTTATCTAAGGTTGGATTGTTTCTCAAGGATCCTGTTTTTACACATGGCCAATTGTATGTTGCTTTATCCAGAGTTCAAAGTAGAGAGGGATTAAAATTGTTAATTTTAGATAACCATGGTAGACTATCAAATAAAACATTAAATGTCGTGTATAAAGAAGTTTTTAGAAATTTATAAAAACTTTGTACAACTTTATTATTTATATCAATTTATGTTTATGTTTTATTTAAATTTATAATGCATTATACAAAATGATAACTTTCTAACATATCTACAAATACAAATTGCTGTTTTGATATTCAAACCATTATAACTTCTTAATCTCAGCCAATCATTATATCACTATGAAATTTTAGACAAAACATTGCTCAATAATTAAGTTATAAGTTAATTGAATTATTTTTAAATTTCTTTCCTGTGGTGTCCACGGGTTATAACCTAGTTACTAAATAAACAAAACCCATCCCTAGAACTCAACCCACCCCACAACCCTCCTCTTTCCCCCATTTTCCTCTCCTTCCTATTTTATTATCTCACGTATCTTTTCCTCCTTCCAAATCCAGACCAATGATGCTTCCAAATTGAGATCAACGATAGTTAGAATAAGAGTGGTTCGACGATCGGCTATGTGATAGGGAACATATGGGTGGTTTTTGTGGAAGCTGTGGTGGTTTTAGGTGAAGTTTTTCTATTTTTCCAGTGAAGCAGGTGACTTAAATAAGGGTGACTTAAATAAGGGTAGTTCAAGTTTTCTGTGGAGATGGTGTTCGACAATGGGTATTCTGATGTGATTCACGGTGCTTGAAGGGTGGCTTCGATGGTAAGTTCGACGGAAACATGTGATGACAGGTGGTGGTTTTCTTAACTGGAGAAGGTGGTATCGGTTATGGTGGTTAGTGTTTCACGATGGTTTTTGTGGTGTGGGGTGGTAGGTTGAGATGATGATGGGGTGTGAAGGTGATAGTGGCTGGTGTTCTCGGCTAGGATGATGAGTGTGGTTTATGGTGTTTTTGAGGTTCGGTGTTTAAGGTTGAAGTCCGATGTCATGGTATGTGGTGCTAGTAAATGGTGGTGGAAGATGGTGAGTGTTAGTTTGTGAAGAAGTTGGTGCGATATGGGTGTCCTTAGTTTGATGGCAATGGTGGAGGTTTACATTTCATTTATTCATTGTTTATCAAATGTAACAAATTGTTGGCAGCACTCCGGGTGATTTCAACAATTTTTTTGGGTTGAAGTTTTAATTTTTATAGATTTTATTTCATCATGTCTTCTTGTTGATGGTTGTTGTATTTGCCGGAGGGGTGGTGGTTGTCGGGTTTGTGTGCGATTTGTGTAGATTAGTGGTCTCATTAAATAAAGATAAAAAGGAACAACAAAGAAATACATAAATGATAAAATTAATTAAAAAAAGATATTAATAAGGGCATAATAGTCTTTTTAGGTGATATAGGGACCAAGAGCGCAACAAAAGCATACTATAGGGACGATCCGAGTTAGTAAGAAAATAAATAAATTATGGACTAAGCTTGTAAATTACCCCCAACCACATGAACCATTCGTGTAATTTACTCTAGAAAATGTATCATTTAGACATTAAAATTGTCTTCATCACTATAAAAACACTAATATAGATATTTTGAAGAGAGTATATGGTTTTTTTTTAAACAAGATACTCGTATTCCATTGAAAAATGATGATTGTATTTATAACAATGGGGTATCCCGTGCTTTGCGGCGGGCGAAAGTGATCATATATATAACAAAGTTGCAAGAAATGACAATGTACTTTACCTACTTTTACCAATATGGGCAATATATTTCAATTTATACCCATAATAGTAATGTATTTTACGATTGAAAACCAATAACCATTTATCTGCATTCCAATAATGCCTACAAAGTACGTTGCTATCTCCTACAAATGGCCCAGAAAACCAGTAACCGATAAGCTAGTTCCCATGCATTGAACAATAAATTATTGTAATCAAATGGATTTTTTTAAATCTGTAATTAATTTCAAATAGTGCATTTATCAAATTATCATTAAATATACCAACATATGTAGTTTTTCCACCTCCATTAACACCAACAATCATGATGACTCTAACTTTCTTAACAACATAAACATTACGAGTAATAATCATTAAAAACTCTAAACATATGAGTTTAAAGAAACACATAAGATCCTGTGACGATCATGAATACAACAAACCTGAATCCAAGTTTGAACCTTTATTTATTTATTTATTTTAGTATACAATACAATGTTCTTTAAAGCATCCTACATAAAAGACATGAGCGAAAAATTACTCTAAATACTAAATTTTACCAAAATATTTTCAAAATTAAACTTCATGTTCATAACACTTGCCTTTATTTCAGTTCCTGATTTAAATCTTCCAACAAATATATCATCCCGCAAGCTCTTAACAATCTTTATTGTTTCATTTATTTTCCATCTCCAGCTGCCTGTTCATATGGCGTCACGTTATCCCAAACTTCAAGAGATGTTATTTTATCAACATGTTGCTTAACCAAATCAGCAAAACGCAACAATATTCAAGATCTTTCCTGGGAATATACAATTTTCATTAGTTATTATAAAAATTATGAAAAAGAATGAATAAGTAATTAAACAGGAAGCTTACATAAGTTGTCATTCGAGGCCAGGGAGCTTCAACAAATAGTTTCCTTCCTGCAGACAGTGTACAATTAACAGCTTCTATATAGTTTTCAACAACCTTGGCAATCGTTTTTGATACATTACTAATTGATATGTAAAGTATCATATGAAACTAATAATATGAGTTAATAAATTTAGTAGAAATTTGAAAGTTTCTTACTTGATATCGTTTTTTGATCCGTTACTAATTGATCTGTAAAGTATCATGTAGTTGGGTTATCAGAATTCCAATTTTATAAGTCAATATCTTTGATAAAAGATATTTATTCAAATGAATAAGATATATATATATATATATATATATATATATATATATATATATATATATATATATATATATATATTAAGCTACCATGTTTTCTGTAATCGAATATCTAAATCCAGTTTGTAGGAAATCATAGGGTAGCCTATTCACCATCTTTTACTTTTGACTTTGCTGAAATAATAGGAATAAATGAAATTAGGGTTCTTTACCTTAAGCAATTCTAGAGCTTCGCTCAATCATTGCAAAGATACATCGAATCGATGTTGGACGAAGGCGGTCGTAAAACCAAAATTCACAATGAATATGGTTTATAAACTCGTTGATTTTAGAGATGTCAAGCGCTTCAAACTAAGCACGTTAACTTGCACGACCACCGTCTCCAGCACAAAGCAATCGACAAAAAGGGTTCATCTTTAAAGAAGGTAGTGTGACTCAAGTTGAGTAAAAAATTGAAAGCCACGGTGGAGGCATGAAGAAGAAGACCCATCACCCATATGATTGAGTTGACATACCTAAAGACTATGTGATGAATGATGTGAAAATCTAGTTTGAAGCGTGATTTACCTCTTCGTCTTCATTGGAATAAGGTGATGAAGGATACAAGGACCAAAAACGACAAACTTCAAATGTAAGCTACCAGCCGATGAGGCGATGAACCGTAGCTGACTCAGCCGGTTATTGTTCATAAGCCTGATAAAGTAATAATAGTATATATGATATTACAAAAATAATAGTACTAACATATGTTATGGTATACAAGTCATACTATCGTTTTGTGTTTTTGTTGCCAACTAGCAATCGTAAATCACACGGTC